ATGTCTTAAATTCTAGACTTAAAACTAAACTTATAACTATGATATATATAAGACTTAAGACTAAATTTATATAAGAATAATATTTACAGTATATACAAATTTTTAAAGCCTACTGGTCAGTATTATATACTGGGTCAGTGGCTGCGTCATATCTACCGAACCTGCGGTGATAATGAATAAGAGAATCCTCATTATATAATAGGCCTTCTTCATTGAGTTTAAGAAGGGCAACTGGAGGGATGTGTTTTTGTCTGATAAGTGCGTTTATATCAAAATTTATTTGTAGGAAATTATTTACCATACTATTTTCTAAGTTTTGGCATCTATCAAAGAATGATAATGCATTTTTCACCATGAATGCGTCTATTCTGCACAAATCTGCAGCCCTATAAATACTTTTGTTTGAGGGTCTTCTAATTTCTCCATTTTCATTTATGTAAGGTCTAAGACCTACGGCTGGAGATAGAATACGTCTCTCAAACGAGCGCAGCCTTTCCATTTGGGACGATGAGATATCAGCCCATGCTGGGAAGGAGTATGTTAAAATTGGCCTGATTATTTGTTTATAAATCAGCAGTTTAATTTGAGGGGTAAGTCCTCCTCTCATTATAAAAAGTTTTTGATATGCGAAAAATAGTCTTTTCGCTTTTTCCATTACAAAGTCAATGTGTTTTATGAAATTAAATTTCCTGCTGAACATAATGCCTAAATATTTCATTTCATTTGAGGCAGGTATTATTTCGTTACGTATTTTTATTGTAGGTGTGAATCTAGCCAATGTTGGATATGTTGCCCTGGGCTTACCACTTAGCACAATAGATGTACATTTGCTGACATTGAGATTGAGCTGCCATAGATCAAAATATTTTTTAAGTTTTTCGAGGTATAAATTGAGTCTCCTTTCAAGTGTATGGCCAAAACGTCCACGTAAGGCAATCAGAATGTCATCTGCGTAAGTTAAAAGCAGGCCGTCGTCAGGTGGACCAGGAATGTCGCTTATGAATATGTTGTACAGGACCGGCCCAAGGAGTGAACCTTGCGGTACACCCGCTTGTACCTGTCGCTGCCCAGACATATTATCACCGACTTTTACCCTAAATGTCCTGCTTTCAAGAAAACTCGCAATGAGCCTGCATATATTATGGCTGAAACCAAAAGATTGCAGTTTATAAATTATTCCATTTTGCCAAACGGTGTCAAATGCCTTTGCAAAATCAAGGCTAACAGCCATAGTACCCATTTTCCTCTCATACCCTCTGGTGACATAATTTGAAAATGTCACCAGAGCATGTGTGGTTGAGTATTTTGGCCTAAACCCAAATTGAAATTCTCTGAGAATATTGCGGTCCTCCATTGTTGATTTTAGTTTTTCTAAAATGAAATATTCTAATATTTTTCCAAATGGGGATAGGAGTGAAATGGGCCTATAATTGCCGCATTGTTTTCCATCCGCTTTTGGCTTTTTAATTGGCACTATTAGAGCCTGTTTCCAACTAGATGGAAAGTAGCCTATATTTATGCAATGGTTGCACAAAAGGGTTATGAAAGTGAGAATTGTATTACCCACTTTTTTGAGGGCAATATCGGGAATCCCGTCAATACCGCATGATTTTTTTGGTGGTCTTTTTTTGATTGCTATAGCCACCTTTTCTGGATTTACAAATCCCCCTTCCCGCCAGAGGAAATTACTATTAATTACAGCGCCATCAGCTGTAAGGTCATCAGAGAAGTTCACTATAGGCATTCGCGAAACAATCCCATCCACAGCCTCATTTACAAGTCTGTGAATAGGATTGTTTCCCGAATCAACCCCTAAATTATGAACTCTCTCTAAGTGGTCTGCTAGAAGCTCAGCCTTACTACTGTCATCAGTATTTTTGATCCATTGGCATCTATTAAAGTTCCTATTGGCTCTTTGTTGGATAGACCAACTGCTCTTTTGATTTTGCCATATGTTTTTGAATTCATATGTATGCCCTCCAAATAATTTTTGTAACGGTCCTGTTCAAAGTTAGTGACTAATTGTTTATTATTATGCCTAAATTTTTAATGTCAGCTCTAATTACATTGTGTCTGTCAGGGTCACCTGATCTCCTTAAGATTTGTCTTAATCTTTTACGTTCTTTAATGAACCTTAGGATGTGAGGTGGTAATTCACCTAATAATTGATCCCGACATTTTTGCTTAGGGACCGAATGTTCAATAGCATCTTTAAATGCCGTATTTAATGCATTGACACAATTATTAATTTCGCTGGCTGAAACATTTCTGTCTATAGGAAGAGCATGACCTGCTAATTTATTTTCCAAGAGTCTATTGAATTTCCTGATTTTAATATTTTTGAAATTATAATATGTTTTTTCAATATTCCTTAAAATATTTTGCATGGAAATATTAATTTCAACAGCCCTATGATCTGACTCAAAATCATGGGTTTTCAACAGGTCATGTTCTTCTAAAACGACACTTGGTGATATTATAAAAAAATCAATAAAAGAATCTTCTACAATATTGGGTCTTGTGGTATTAGCTGTTGGGCATATCTCCAAATTTGGACAATTTATTATGTATGTTTGAAGCTCTCGACCTCTTCTATTTTCAATATTCCCACCCCAGTCACGATGCTTTGCATTCAGGTCACAGCCAATTATGACGTCATTAGCTGCGCCCAGGTTAGCAATTTCATCTAGACTATTGGGGTAAAAATCATCTTTAGGGGGCAAATACATTGATATTAATACAATGAATGTCCCATCAGCTTTAAAAAGTTTTACACCACAAGACTCAATATTACCTGTGTCTATTTCCAAAAATTCAGTTTTATATTCCTCTTTGACTAGAATTGCTGTGCCTCCACCTGATCTGCCTACTCTGCACTGTTTATAAAGTGCATATCCCTCAATACCAAATTTGTGCCTGTTTGTCAATTTATGTTCTGCTAGAAGTAGAACATCAGGCTTATGAGTTTGAATAAATAAATTAATGTAGTGTCTTTTAACTAAAGACACTATAGAATTGGGATTGAGAAATATGCACTTCAACATTTGTATCCTTGCAAATACATCAGGAGTTTTAGAAAGGCAGTGGAATCACCTTCTGCCTTTTGTATTTCCTGATACCTATCTTTAAATTGTCCGAGATCTTTCATAAGATCTGTGAGGTTTCTACCAAAAGTTGTCCTACATTCATCAGCCATTGTGATGGCTAATGATGCAGGTCCTTTGGTGGTAATGTTATTTTTTATAATTTTTTGTGAGTTATTTGTAGGTATATTATCTGGGGTACCTAGTACATTAGCATATGTTAAAATGTTTTTAGCTGTGGAGATTCTGTTTGATTTTGCAGAATTAATTGCAATTTTTTCTTCTCTCCTTTCTTTCTTTTTAGGAGGATGGCATTTTTTGTAGGGCAATCACGGGAGTTAGCTCCATGGCCTATTCGATTGCAGTTAATGCACTTTAATGGAGGTCTTGGTACGTCAGTATCTGCTGTTAAAACATTTGAAGCATTTTTAACCAGACATTTACCACGTTCGTGGTTTTCAGCAACACATGTCACAACGATAGGGCATGCCACAATTGGCTTTGACATGCCCAATTCGTTGACAGTTAAAACATCTAACAACATCCCTACCAGTAGCCCTGCTAAAAGAGATATTGCATCTTAAAATTTTTTTGGTTTTATAAAGTCTATTTATATCACTTGATCTGTCTAACTTTAAAATCCATTTAGTTTCTGTAATATTAATTAAATCTACTACTTTTACATTGAAATTTAAGTTTTCCAAAAATTCTATAATTTCTTCCTTAGCAAACTTCTTTAGGCAACCTATCAATAATAACTGAATAGGGCAATAATTGTTTTGGTGTGTGTGTGTGATATTTATATCCTCTTTCTTTAAGTAAAGAAGTGATTTTTTGGAAATTTTCTAATCCAATAATCCTAACGGACATAATTGAGCTACGAACAACTTTAATGCTATAGGTTTCTTTGCCTATATTCCTGTCTATTATTCCAGTAAGTTCTCTATACCCAACTTCATAAACTGTTATGGCTGGTAGGCTCTTACCCTTCCCTTTGGTGGTTGCTGCTGCGGCAATGGGGGTTGATGTTACTGCTGCTGCTGCGGCTGCTGCTACTGATGACTGATTGTTGCTGCCATTTGTTGTTATTGCAGGATTTGTTGTTGTTGTTGTTGTTTGTTCTTCTTTTCTGTTGCTTGCAGTTGAAGAATATTTTCTCGGTTCTGTTGTAGGCAGCTGTGGCTTCTTGCCTGCCTGTTCTGTCCTGGGCAGCTGTGGATTCTTGCCTGCCAGTTGTTTCTGCGGTTTTGGCATGTTGCCCGCAGTATCTATTTCCATGTCGTCTTCATCTATGACAATCGATGGTGTATTTTGTTGTTTTTGCAAGTCGATTATGACTCTTTTGTAGCTAGTTTTCTTTTTTTGCTGCTTCGGTTAGAAGGCGGGCTGATTCGTCTTGGAGATGTTTGAGACGAGTGATTTCTTCCATTAGAAGAATGTTGTGTTGTTCGCTTTGTTCCAATTTTTTTTGGATTTCACTTAAACGGGCGTCAAGCTTCATTATTTCATATGATGACTCATCATCATACTTCTGCTTCCTCTTCTTACGCTTTTCAGTTGCTGCCTCCTTTTTCCCGTCGGCAGAAACATCAGCATCTTTGCTACGTGCCAATATAATTTCATCGACACGTAGCACTTCACTTCCTTCGTCGTCTTCTTCCATCTTCTATTTGCCGACGGTAAATAACTTAACCGCCGACACAGCCAAAATTAATGGTGAAACCACAATAGCAGCAACGATGTTTGTATTTCGTTGTGAAACAATATTCAATTTTATCTCTTTTGCTATTTTTGTGGTTTTTACCAGGTTTCACTTTTTCACTTTATTTTAGTTTTGAACACTTCACTTAAGCACTGAAAAACACAAATGATAAAAATTTCGGAGCCGAAACGTGCTATTTATACTTTTCTCACACACACATTTCTTCAATAATGGGGTGGTTTGCCTTGTGTGTGCCTGCTAGCTGTGACTACCTGAAATTCTTGTCGACTACAATCTACAAATTCTGTATAGCTGGCCGATTTGGTTATCATTTGTGAACAGTGTTAAAAGTGTTTGTGTGATTCAAAAAAAATAATAAGTGAAAATGCCTCCTAAAACCAGTGGTAAAGCAGCAAAGAAGGCCGGCAAAGCCCAAAAGAACATTACCAAGGGCGATAAGTCGAAGAGACGTACCAAGCGTAAGGAGAGTTACGCTATCTACATTTACAAAGTGTTGAAGCAAGTCCATCCCGACACCGGTATCTCCTCCAAGGCCATGAGCATCATGAACAGTTTCGTCAACGATATCTTCGAACGTATTGCCGCCGAAGCCTCTCGTTTGGCCCACTACAACAAGCGCTCGACCATCACCAGTCGGGAAATCCAGACCGCCGTCCGTCTATTGTTGCCCGGTGAATTGGCTAAGCACGCCGTCAGTGAAGGTACCAAGGCTGTTACTAAATACACCAGCTCCAAGTAAATGTCTTGATATTTTTCATTTTCATGCGTCGAAATACTACCTTAAAAGGCCCTTTTCAGGGCCACAAAAAACATTTCAAAAGAGATCATATTTTGTTGAAACTACAATTTATCATTATTTAGTAATAAACGAATAAAATTCCATAAGAAATATATTTTCTCTATACAATGATTTTTCCATGCATTTAGCTAACTCGCATATGTGCCTATGTTTAGCCATTGCTTGTGCGATATGCTATAACAGCCATCGTCGTCGTATATGTGTGCGTGTGTTAGTGGTGATTTGCCTTGCCGTCGTTGATCAACATCGAATGGGCATCATGTATGTGTGAGCATTTTGATACAGCACAACGGCAAAGCAACGAAATATAAGGCTGAGGCAGAAATTATCAAAGGAAAAAATAGTATTGATGGAAAATGTAAATATTTTGCCAAAATGTCATTTTTGGATGAAATTCGTGAAATTTGACAGAGAATATGAAAATGGCAAAATTTTCAAAATTAAGTAGAAATTATAAAATGACCAAATTATGGGGATTTTCGAGAATTATGACCTGTGGGTAATTAGGAAAAATTTTAAATATTTTATTATCTTTTATGACCTGGGTTAAAAAATAATCCAGTGGCGTCCACGATTATATTGGTTCAATAAAATTACCTAATAAGAACAGTAATTAGCGAAAGTAATTTTTTCAAACACGTGTACAATTTTTTTTAGGTAACAAAATATATACGATAACTGTTGAAAATAAATATTTTTCTCTTTTTTAATTTAATTTGTAGCCCTGAAAAGGGCTGTTAGATAGTATGTTTTCGAATATCGAAAATATTGTGGAAAAAGTAATCTTTCTGGGAAAAATTACTTCTTGGCGGCGGTTTTCTTAGCAGCTGGCTTCTTTGCTGCTGCGGCCTTTTTGGGCTTAGCAGCTGCAGTTTTTGCCTTGGGTGCCTTTGGTTTAGTGGCAGATGCTTTGGCGGCGGTCTTTGCTGGTTTAGCTTTAACTGTACCGGTTTTCTTGGCAGCCTTTGCCTTTGTTTGTCGGCCTTCTTCTTTTCAGCGGTCTTCTTGGCGGCAGAGGGTTTTTTGGCAGCTGCCTTCTTCTCACCAGCGGCCTTTTTAGGGGCGGCAGCCTTCTTCTTTTGTCACCAGCGGCTGGGGCCTTCTTCTTCTTTCAGCAGTCTTGGCTTTGGGTTCCTTAGGAGGCCGAAGCTGACAATTTGAATGAACCAGAAGCACCCTTACCTTTAGTTTGGATCAATTTTCCACTGGCAACGGCACCTTTCAAGTACTTCTTGATGAAGGGGGCCATTTTTGGGCATCTACTTTGTAGGTGCTGGCCAAGTATTTCTTGATGGCGGGCAATGATGAACCTCCACGTTCCTTCAGGGTCTTGATGGCGGCATCAACCATTTGCTGGGTTGGAGGGTGGGTAGGGGCAGCTGATGGCTTCTTTGCTTTGGCAGCGGCTTTTTTGGTGCCTTTTCTCAACAGCGCAACTGGGGAGGCGGTGGCTTCAACAACGGCGGCGTCAGACATGGGTATTCACTGTTTGGTTTATATTTCACTGTTAACACAAATACACTCACAATTTATGTGTACTATTATTTTTGTTAGCGGCGAGCTAAAGTGTATGTACAGTCGAAAAGATGAGATGTGCATAGTAGTCATTGGTAAATTTTCGAAAGATGGTGTGGAAGCGTGTTTAATTTTTTACAAAAGTTTCGGAGAAATTAAATTTTCCTGAAGAAGCTTTGATAATTTTCACTAAAAATGTTTTATACCTTTAAAGTATAGATTTCAGGCTATGTTTTAAAGAAAGTTTGGTGTAATTATCACTTGCCGTTTGTGAATTATAAACGTTTAACTTGGCAGATTATAAAAATGTAATCACAAATTTCAACATAAAATTTAAAAAATCGAATTGTTTTATGAAAATTAATTGAAAATTCTTTTTGAAAATGTAGCCTGATATGTTTACTTTAGGATCAAAGAAAAATATCGATGAAATTTCATATTTTATATGTGAAAAAATTGAAATTATTATGTGGTCTATGACAGCAGAAATCCTCTTGTTGGCATAATTTCAATGAAAGAAAAGTTTTTCTTGAAATAAATTTGAAAGCTCAAATTAATAAGTTTTATAAAAATTTCTTAAAAAAACATTTCAGAATTTGTATATTTACATCAAAATATAACATTATTCACAAAAAGTCATAATTTTACGGGGAAAAGTTACAAAATCCCCAGAATACTTCATACTACCAATGTACAGGCATCAGTGACAAACGGTATGTATTGTCATTTGGCAATATTTTTTATGAAATTTAACATAATTGTTCTTAAAATTATTAAAAAATAGTATTAGAAGCCATTTTTCTACGTATTTTGTCAAATTTTGTTAATTTTATGAAAAAATATTCCCAAAAAGAAATTCCTCTTTACAGGCAAATATCACCTAGAACACTTGGAAATGTCATGAAATTAATTGCGTTTTACAAAATTGTTTTCGATCAACTTTTGAGGCAATATATTGTCATTTTCTTTTAATACTTTTAATTATATTTACATCAAAATTCTCAACAAATCAATTATTTTTTCTTCTTCGATTTGACAAATAATAAATTATTACAATTCTTAAAATACTCGGGCAAAATAATTTTGTAATTCCATATGGAGAAAATTTCATATCAAATGTCTTTAAAATGCGTAAAAACATTTAAAAATTTTGCTGAAAAGGAAAAAAACAATTCATACATCATTCCTGAAAAAAAAAAATAGGAGGGCAACATTTTAGCTGAAATTTTAAAATCACATGAAATAATTCGTAGAAAATTAAAGGAGAGAATTTTTTCCCGTTAAATTGAATAGTCACAACAGAAAAAAATGATCGAAGGGGAATAAAATGAGAGAAATAGACAAATTTCGCGCCAAAAATCATAAAGAGAGCAATTTTTTGTTTAACGGGGAAAAGGAAAAAAAAAATGGA